TCGTCGGCCCCTAGTAGCTTCTTGTTCCTAGTAGCGATGCCAGGAGCCCCTAGTAGCTTCTTGCTCCTAGTAGCAATGCCCTTTGCTCCTAGTAGCTTCTTGTTCCTAGTAAGCAAAAGCTTTATGCATCTTGGGGTCGCGCAGGTCTTTAAAGATTTCTGCGGGGTGCTCAACGAAGAGAGCATCAGGTGGAAGATTTGTTGTTTTTCGTATAAAGCCTTCAATTCATGCATTCCAAAACTGGAGCCTTCAAGAATGCCTTCTTGCGCAAAGGAATGCTTTTTGTTCGCTGGTAGAGGTGTATTAAAGTGGAAGACCCAGCAGCCATTAGTAGAACGAATCATCAAGCTGAACAACTACTTGAAGAAGTGAACAGCAAATCACAAATGTCAATCCATGAAAAACCCTTGAAAGACCGCTTCACCTCATGTTCGCCAGGAAGAATTTTGTTTTGGTCTATGAGCTTCTGGACGAGATGGTGGACTACGGCCCGGACTGATAAGAAAAGCCAGAAGATCTTTCCAAGAATTGAGCCTTGCTTCCCGTTTCCGAGGTTACCCGCAAACCACCAACACTGAACATCTCAAGCCTGGGACTGATCGACCTCATAGACCGCAGGATGTTCAGATTGAAAGTTACACATGGGTGTTCCTTTAACTTAGCTAAGTAGGCGGCTACTTAATGAAGTAAAAGCTAGGTAGCTGCATGCTATTAGTAAGCTTACTGGTAAGGGAGACTCCACTGCTCAGCCGATAACACGTGTTCCCTCATCACCGCCAAAAGCAGGTCTTGCATTCACAACGAAGCTGTCGTCATTGAGGCGCCCAAGCCCGGAACCCCAGACGAAGCGGTGAACCGGGCTGTGTATATTCTTTTTTGTACTAGGAACAAGTGCCACGCTAGTAGTAACAGGTGCCTTACTAGTAGTAACAAAAAAGCTATTGGAATTAAATTTAAATTAATAGCTTCTTTTTTGTCCTCCTCCCTTTTGGCAGGAACCGAATAGCGATGGCCTCCTCCCTATCTACTTATTCAAATAGGCGCCTACTTAATCATGTACGGAGGCTAAGCTTCTAGGTGGGCCAAAGGATAGCTCAAGCTTCTTCAAGGAAGCTCCCCCCGCCTGAGGGAGGGGGAAGCTGAGCTTCCTTGAAGAAGCGCTCCCAATATGATTTGGTTCCTAGATTTTTAGGGAAACTTAACTGTATGGTGTGTATTGCTGTATTGATTTGGTCCTAAAATAGAAGAGGATGAGAGGAGAAGTTGATGGTCTTGCCGAAAGATTGTGGAAAGAGTCAAGTGACGTCATCCATTCGATGTTCCAAAAAAGCACAAGAAAAGAAAATAACAAGAAGCTACTAGGGCTCCTGGCCGTACTACTATGAGCAATGTTCGCTACTGGGAACAAAGGGCATCGCTACTAGGAGCAAGGACACTACTAGGGGCTCCTGGCCTTACTACTAGGAGCAATGTTCGCTACTAGGAACAAAGAAAACTTACTTTTGGTGTTTTCTTCGGTCTTTGGCGTTTTGTCCAGGACGGGCTTGAACTTGCCTCAGTGGAACCCACGGACAGTGCCTAGCAATGCAGTGCACCGGCCTGTCGGAGTCTGAGTCGATCGCTGTGGGCCAAGAATGAAAGGTCAGCGATGGCCTCCGTAATTAGAAAAGTCTTGTTCCTAGGTCCTAGTAGCTTCGTGTTCCTACTGATGGTCCTACACAAAAGAAAAGAAAGGTTTCTGCATTTTTTTGAAATGTCAGAATTTGAAAAGAATGGTGTCCTAGGCAGTTCTACTTCAGAGAAAGCAAATCGGATAGCTTCAACTGAACCACAGATCCCGGGCTTAACTACTCCGTACCACTCGGAATGAGGCATGTCTTCATCTCTTTACTTATTCTTACTTATGTGTTCTGCTAGTAGCAATCGGCTGAGAGCCCTTCTGGTCAATTTGGCTTGCTTTTACTAGATTACTAGATGTTCTTAGGTAAACAATCTACTTTTGAAGATTCTTTTTCTACCCGTTACCGCTCGCAACGAGAACATGTTCTCACAACATGTACGTCTCAACTTTCGAAAGCCCAGGTTGGACCAACACAAAATGATTCGAAGAGCAAGAAGAACGAGATCTTCGTTGACATCTTGGAGAGGATCTCGGTGACGACCTGAAGAGACATGACACCATCCGCTCTAGACAGCGGTCTCCTACCGATCGTAGGCCTCCAACCTAATAGCAAGGGCCCTCAACCTATTGGCCTCCTTACGTGTCCTTTTTATTGTTTCATGTCTTTCTTTAAATCTTCGGACCTTTTTTTTATGTCATGTCCCTTCTTTGTAGTCGATTGCGTTCTTATGATTCTTACTGAGATGTCGAGCTTTGAGGTCTTGATGAGTTCCAACGGTTTCGTCATCAATAGCTCCATTGACGGAAGCATTCAGATGAAGTTTGGGGCTCAACTCCAAAGTCTTTGTACAAAGGCAGATGAAAGCAGATGTGTGATGGTGCACAGGATGAAGTAATCTACCACATGTATTCATTTTGCAAGTATCACTTTATTGTTTCTAATTAAGTGTCTTGGTAGCTTGTCTTGTAAGAAGCCCATATTTCCCTACTGTCTTTGCATGTCTGAAGATGCTTTGGGACATGTGGGGAAACAGAAACCCACCTCTTGAAGAAGTTTCAAGCAAATGCTCCTAGTAGCGATGCCCTTTGCTCCTAGTAGCGTCCTTGCTCCTAGTAGCGATGCCAGGAGCCCCTAGTAGCGTCCTAAATGCATTGAAAGCTAAGGTTTGTTGCAACAAAACATTGATGTGTGTTGAAGTGTTGAGTTGCAACTGAGCAGGGGTTTGCGAAGAGCAAAACAGCAACAAATGTTGTTTGTTCTAAAGTCCTAGGATGCATCATATTCTTTCTCCCGCTGACCCAAGCAGCGGTTGAACCTGTGTGAGGTCATACTTGATGGGAAACCCAGAGCTCAAGCTTGCCCTCAACGAGGCCATTTGTTGCCCTCAACGTGCAAGAAAGGGTGCAAAATGCCAAGTACTTAAGCACCTAGGAGCAAGGACGCTACTAGGTGGAGGCCATTGCAAGTAGGTTGGAGGCCATCGCTACTAGTAGCTATTTGCTGATGCGCTTGTGCAAGGACATTATGGTGAAGAACATGGACCTTGGTGGAAGCCATGGAGGTTTCAAAGCGAGACGCGTTCGTACTCAATTAAGTAGGCGTTATGACTTTTGTTGGCCTCTTTAACTGTGAGCATACACATGCATACAGAAACTATTTCATCAATGGTAAGAACTATATCATATTATGAAGAAACTATTTAACATAGTGAGATAGGCACCACAGAACTAATTCTAAACTACACAGAAAATGACCGAAACTAATTTAACAACATTCCCCAAACCACAGAAACTAATTCAAAAAAAAAAAGAAAAAACACAGAAACTAATTCAAAAAAAACTACAAAAACACAGAAACTAATTCAAAACCATACCCAAAAACACAGAAACTAATTCAACAACATACCCTCAAGACCACCAAAAACACAGAAGCTGATTGAACAATGTATCCAAACACCACAAACCCAAGTTTAAATACCATCCAGGACCGTCCATCTAATCAGAAAAATTGAAGAGCTCCCTCGCAAAAGGAGGCATGATGCGGCATACTCAGTGTATCAATAACAGGGGCCCTACAATCTCTTGCAGGGCATTTATTTGTAAACAAAAAGGTCAAAGGTCACTCAGAATGGAGCCAGCACCTGCCACCCCAAACAGCAAACAGGACAAGCTGGTTGCAAATGCTGCTGTGCACATGCACTTTTCCCTGCTCTTTCCACTTGGTGCCCGGTGCAAAACGCAGAGCCTAAGACTTCGTGCGTTCGTGATTCCTCTGAATCAACGCCTTCTGCCATCTGCTGCTTTGCATCTAAAGGAAAACAACCCTAGGTCTTCAAGGGATCCTGTCCAACTCTCAAAAGAAGTGAAGCTGGAATGTTATAATGTTTGATTTCCACCTTGGAACCCTCTCTGACCGAACAGTAAGACCCCCAAGCCAAGCTGGCTGTCAAATCACACGTGGATCACTCAGAGCCACAAGCAAACAAACCAAACATCTCAGATCCCTACTACCTACAACATGACTTTCTTTGGTTGAACATATTCTGTAACTATAGAGTCCGAGCGTATGTATACAGTATACTACCAGAACAATCAGCCATCAAACAAAATGGGGCCAGCCGTCAGCAGTCTACAATCTACTTGCTATGCTTGCGCTTCTTCTTGGACGCCTCAGCTTTGCGCCTCTTGCTGGGGGCCTCCTGATCCTCACCACTCCCATCGTGCTCTGCAGATGGCCCTGGTGCTGGAGCAGCCTTGGGCTTCCGCTTTCCACCCGATTTTGCCTTCGCAGCTGCTTTGGCAGCAGGCTTGCTCTCAGGTTGCATCTTGTTGCGCAACTCCTGTGGCAGGTCAGCCTGTGACATGCCCATGGTACTCACAAAGGCCATGATCTTGGAAAGTGATCCCTTGTCGTACTCGTCAGGGTGGATAACATAGTCTAAGCATGTCATGTAAGCAAGAACCTTTGCCGATGTGCTTCTGAAGTCCTGTCTATTGAGCGTCTGACACACACACAAACAAACAAACCCAAGAATGTAAGCGGCAATAAGCAATCTCACTCTGAATTCCATCAAATGCAAGGTTGCCCAACATCAGATGAACCTGCAATGATCTGGAAACAGGTAATGTCACTAGTTCTGAAATCTTCTGAACTTCAATACGTGTAGACAGTGTAAAATGAAAATGTGGGAAGGACACAAATGAGCCAGACCAGATTGGGACACATTGCCCCCATTGTGCAACACAAAACCTGATTTGATTGGATTTGATTTGTTTTGTCAAGGAACCTTGATTGAAAAGGGTCAGGACTCAGGACAGTGAGGAACAAAAAAAACCATCCCTGGATGACACTGTCCTCCAAAGCCCTCAGTGTTGCTGCCCACTTGTGACCGCCCCATGCATCTGGATCACCCATGTTGCCCTTGGTGGACTGCACTGCCTTGAAGAACCCGATTTGCTGCCCTAGGGTCTCCCGATACTCTTGCAAGGCGCTGGTGGAATCTGTAATCTCTGCCTTTTTCTGCTCAGTGGCTGGGTTCACCAGCCAATCCACACTGGCAATGTCCCACGCCTCAATGGCCTGGATGCATGGCCTGCCAGTGGCAACAAACGACACAAGTCAATGAACAAATGAGAAATCAGAATGAATCGAATCAATGAACAATGATTCTGTATGAAACCGTCACTGAAACCCATCTTGCCGCACTGGTTTGGTTCTGGGCCCTTAACAACGCGAACTCAAATGCTGCCCGAGCCTGAAGTTTTGAAGAGTCTTGTTGCTTGTGCCAAGGTCATCCTCTACTGTGTCCTGCAACTGCTTCAAAAGTGTGTGGAAGCTCTTGGTGAATGTCACAGCCTGATGATGCTTCTCAGGAAGCATTGTCTCCAAGGTGTCCAAGTCCAACGCCGTCACCTTCAAATACAAAGGCAAATAGACTTGCAAACCGGGGCCATTGACCTCCTTGAAGAGAATGTCGTCAATCTTCAAAGTCTTCGGAGTCCATAGGGCGCATGCTTCAATAGTGTGGATGGTGTCTCCGAACTTGGAAGGGAAAGGCGCACTGTAGTCTTTGGTAAAGATCTCAATGGCTTTCCTGTCACCATGTTCCTTGATCTGGTCGTGGAGAGAAGTTTGAAGCCCCTTCCTCAGCAAAGCCCCCAAGCGATTGACTGCGGTCTGAACACTCTGGGTGAGAGGGTAGTCGGCCAGCATGGACATGGGGATCAACTTGTCGGTTGAATCCATTGCTTTTGAAAGCTTCTGCCAAAGCTCAAGGCCCTGCTTCATGGTGACAGGGGCGTTTGTGCAGGTGTCAGCGGTGAACTTTGCCAAATACTGGGAAACCTTGGCAACCATCAAGCACTCTGCCTGTCGTGCGGTTGGAGCAGACTTCTCCAGGAAGCATTCCACCAAGCCTGCAGTGTCCGAATCCTAAACAATATTTACTGGACGGTCGCAACACAGAAACCAGCTCTGCTGAAAGTACAAGCTACCTACCTTCGACAAAATGTGTCAAATCCTCAGTTCCTGGACAACACTCAAAAAGGTCAATGAGGGAGGAAGGTTCTGCTTTGCACTGACTAGATGACATCTCAACACACCAACAAACAAAAACAAACATGTGACCTGTATAATATACAGTCAGTAAGTAATTGACAAATCGAATTTATATTATCATTGGACTGGCCTGAGAGTAGTTTTTTTTGAAACTCATGGCCTGCATAGCAAGCTGAGCCAATATCTTTGAAAAGCAAATTGGGCTGGTGAGCTGACAACAACAAAGAGACAGTGCCCTGCTCGGAGTTGGTGCCATCTTGATCCGGAAGCCATTGCGCGAGCATGAAATCCTGGTAGGTCTTGGCACTATCTGTCATGGATGGAGACTTTGCCTTGAAGTTCTGCAGGGCATTGCACAAGTCATCCCTGATCTGAACATCTGACTCAGGCAGCGAATCCGCCCCCTCCAAGAGGGCTTTGCAATCTGGGACCTCCGTCAAGCTTTCAAACTTCTCCATGATGCTGGCTGTCACTGGCTCCAGACTTTCCATGGCAGCTTGAACTTCTGCACATGCCTTGGTCAAGACAACTGCCTTGCTGGCTGCAGACTTGAGGTCAATGATTGTCTTGGAGATTTCAACGACTCGCTGCCACATGCGCCTGCAAAAAGAAGCAGTGGGATAACCAAGGCCAATGTAACACATCCTAAAACATTGAACACGTGAAAACCCAAGCAATGTACCGAGCAGAAGGCTCAACCACCCCCGAAGGTCACGTGCCTCAAAGGCTCACTGCTTTTGAAGACCAAAGAGGTGCGGGCACTGTAGGCTGTGCCACTTGCCACAATCTTCAATTGCTGCTTGGCCTTGTTGTCGAAACTGGGATTGTGAAGTAGCGAGCTGCAGGCAATGAACTTCTGCATGTCAAGCAAGCTCCTAGTGTTGATGCCAGTCTTGTTGGAAATTGACTCGTCCGCACAGTCAAAGGTCAATGCCGCAGCAGCATCAATCGGGGTCCTGTGTTGCTTCAAGCCCACCCCCAGAAGCAGCAACAGAACCTATTAAATTAATACTATTAACTTTTAACCTACTTGATTGATGACCAGCCCAGCCTAAGCTGAGTCCTAAAGTCTTGAGCCTACATTTGCACTCTTTTTGCCCCCTTCTTCTCCCCCTTTCAAAACCCAACCAAAGGCGGACACAACAAACAAATGGACAAAGCTGGGGAGGGTTGGCGAGGGTTCAAAACATGAATGGGCAGTGGCCTACGCCTACGTTACCTATTCCCTTGTTTTGGCAATGGCAGTCCTGACAATCTCTGGCAAGTACCAAGCTTGTGGCACTGTGAGCAAGATGGACTCACACTGGTCACAACTGATGCCTCGGAGTTTGTCCATCCAAAAGTTCAGGGCATTGCTTTGCACCTGCGCCAAGGTGGCCCTCCGCTCAGGCGTGGTGGCCAACACATGAAGCCCAAAACCATGGTAGTCCAAAGGCTCAATGGACAGGAAATCGAAAAGCAGGCAGCTCTGACTAGCAATGTTGGCCTGCAACGACATGGGCCAAGACATGCTTGGCTTTGGCTACAAGACATTGACTCAACATTGACATTTACACCAACTAGGCTGCCAGGTCAGGCTGAGGTAGCAACAGGGTTCAAGTTCTAATTATATAAATAGACTGTGCGACTGGCTGACATGACAAATCTAAGAAAGACAGCAACTGGCACGGGGTGCTATGTGACTGGACAAAGTCCTGCCTCTACCAGCCGCTTGGCAATGTCTGTCAAGAAGGGAAAGTGCTGATCCGCTGACAGGTTGTTCATCATGTTAAGCAGGGCATCCTTGCTCTCTACCAAGAAAACAGAAGGGCTTGCCTGGACAGATCGGACAAGCTCATTCTCCTGGGAGACCCTGTTGACCTCTTTGTTCAAAGAATTGGCCAGCTCAGTTGCGGATTCAGCATTTCGGCCCTCAAGCTTTGTGACCAAATCCACAGCTTTCTGCACACGGGAATCAATGTCCTTCTGCTTCAATTGCTGGTTCAACATGGCTACCGCAGACACCTCCTTCAGCTGAGCCAAAGCAGTTCCTGCCTTCTCCAACAGTGCAGGCAAGCCCTTAGGTTCTGCCCTGGAAGAAAGGGGGGTGGCGACAGCGCTGGCAAGATCCAGGGCAGATGGAGTTGGCATTGAAGGTGCACCGCCTGAAGACGAATGAACTGATGCGCTTACTGCCGCTTCCTTTTCTTGGGTCTTCTCATTGGCAGGTGCGGCAGGTGTGCCAGAAGGAGGAGGGGCCTCAGGCCTGCCACCGGCCTTCTTGCCCTTTGGCTTGGATGCTTTGGACTGTGCTGTCTTCTTGTTCAATCCAAATGCAGACTCGGATTCTGAGCTGTCAGAATCCTGGCTAGAGCTGGATGAAGAAGAGCTTCCCTCATTGGTCTTGGAAATCTTGGCATCCACTTCGTCCTGGAAAGTCAAGCAAACGACAGAAACTGTTGGAATACCCTTTCCCTCTTGGTGTTCTAGCCAATGCCACTGCCACTACTTAATATGATGATGGCTGTGACTACTCTGATTTAAATAGTTTTGAAAGGGAGCAGGTCAGGTTTGTCACATTCATACAATTTGCAAAATCTCAGTAAAACATGTAGCAACACATCCAACATAGTACAGCAATAACTGAGGTTAGGTCCAGTTGTCCAAATCTTTGAAATGATGAGAATGAATGGACGATTTGTAGCACACGGAGGAAAACTACAATGTAATGTAATGTAATGTACTCATGTACTGGTGCTGAGCCAGCTGCTCTCACTTTCTACTTTTCTGGAACAGTAGTAGTAGCAGTAGTAGTAGTAGTACGTAGTGATTTCATGATTGTTTGATGGACTTGACTTGGCTGTCCTGATCAACGAAAGAAGCTGTCAAGCCTTCTTTGTCTTTCGCTACATAGTCTGCAGCTTCCTCCTTGGTCTCGTGCTCCCGTTGCTTGACCATCTTGGCAGCAAGCCTCTTGCCCACCTTGAGGGTTTTCTCCTTGGGCCGCTTTTTGGTAGCAATGCCTTCGGTGCCCATGTCATCCTCAGCTCAGTAGGAAGACACAAAACTTGGAGTTAGAGTAGTTGGAGTTGGAGTCAGTTGAATGCTCAATGCTAGGTGAAACAAAGCTGAAGTACTGAAGTACCATACAAACGTAAAAGGCTAGTCAAAGCCAAAACAACAACTGTTCATTGGCACCTCAGCCTCTGAAGAAATACACAGGGAACAATGTTTGCAACAAGGCCAAGGCTCGCATTGGATTGGTAATCCAAGTTCTTTTGTGAGATACGCACGCTTCTGGCTGTGATTTTTACAACGTTTTTTCACGTCAGGTGGTGCATTCGCATCAAAGAAATCTTTGATGCTCATCCAAGTAAGTTCCTGCGCTTCCAACTGATTGTCACCTGGACTAAACAACCTGAAGACCTGAACTCAATACAGATCTGTGATCTCAGATCTCAAATCAAATCATACATAACTACAACAGTGACAGTGCAGTACAATTTGTCATTCCCGCATGCAGCATGTCACGCGCTAACTGACTTGCTTTTTGATTAAACATCTGATACAACGTCATCAGCTTCCCCTACAGTTACAAAAGACAAAAGTCCAAAAAGCAATGCATCAAATCTTCAGGCCCCCTCTCCTCGAAAACGTCCATGTAATCGGTTTCCTCTTTGGTTGTGAACTGCTTGATGTCACAGCGTTCGTGGCGTGGCCGTGAACGCGGGTTCCGGGCCATCCGGGCCAGGTGGTTGCGCCGCAAGCTGGAAAACCTGGGCAAAGGTATGCGCGATTTGGAATAGAACAACATGAACTGAACAATTGTGTGATGCAGTGATAGGCGGCAATAGGCATGATAGGGTTCAACTAATGGCTGCTCCCTCAAAACCACCCCAAACTCCAAACAAAAACTAGCTTCCAATCTAAGTTTGATCATCTGAAGAGCTTATCGGCCAAAGGCGGTGAATTGCGCATAGATTGCAGCAACGTGGGCAACGGAACCCCTTTGAAGCTGCCACGACATACGTAGAGACACTGCAAGCAAACCCCGGTCTGATTGCTCTTGCTGGGCTGCACCGTCACAGTGGTCTCCACATCTGGCGGACAGTCCTGTCCACAAGGCACACCACATGGCAAGGTGAGTTCTACAGACTGTTCAGGGACATGAGACAGAACACCGACACTGACTGACTCATTGACTCATAGTCAGAGTCATAGTCATAGTTCATAGTACTATGACTATGACTCTGACTCTGACTATATAGACTATAGACTGACTATAGTCTATGGTATTGTACTGTCAGTTTCTGGCATTGATCAGTGATCAGCGTGATCAGTCTTTTGATCTGAATCATGTCTGAAGATATCTGACTGCATAACTGCGTATGTTTATGTTTTTGCCTGTAGCCTGTAGCCTTGAGCAGCTTTTAGACTTTCAGCCAGGAATGACAAACAGGCCTTGTCAGCCTTGCCAAACTCTTGCTCGCATAGAGGGCATTCGCACAAAGAAAAAGGCTCCCCAGAAGCCATGAAGCACCGATACGGCGATACGCAACGGATTGCTCCAAGAAACAGTACCCTACTGGACAGCTTGGCCAAAAACTGGATCTAGAGACACAGAGACAGACAAGTGTTCAAGCACACGTTTCGCGTCTCAGCCTGCGTCCCATTGTCATCTTTTGGTTCAATGTCTAGAAGGATGACTCTGATGATTTGTTCATTTGTTCAAACACCTTGGCCTCATTCTGGAATACTCTGGAACTGAAACAACCTGCTGCCATGCTAGAGCACACACACAAAAATACTTTGGCCTCGCATCTATCAATCTAATCTATCTAGTTATATTTTATATATGATAATGATGACAAATATTTGTCTATATACTAACTCTAAGTCTTAAATGGTTTGCTCAATATCCTCAATATGTTTCATGCCGCATCCGCATGCCTGGTGTGCTGATTGCTACCCCCTGGAGCCATCTTGCTCCAATCTAAGGATTGTGAACCCATTGGTTCAAAAAAAGAGTGGAAACTCAACTGACCACAAAATCAACGCTTGGTGGGCAGCCTCATTCAGTGGTGGGTCAAACCACCCCCTTTGCCTTTGCCCTAATTATGCATTCGCAAGCCAAGATCATTGGCTCAGGCTCTAACTCTAACTCAAACGTGCCCGCTTCAAACGAGAAGAAGACTGTCCACTCACAGGGGTGTAGTTGCCTGGGAGGGGAACATCGCAAAGAGAGCTGAAGTCCTCAAACATCTTCTTGAGGGAGAAGGTCATGAGTGGCGGGTGATCCTTTTCGAGCTTTGCCCCAAACAGGCTCAGCAACTTTTGGATTGCCGCCAATGTACGGAAGTCAGCCCCAACCAAGGTGCTGTGCCCCACCAAACATCCAAAATGTATGTGGAAGAGTTCATCTGAACCGTCAGCCGGACGCCAAATGAAGTGAAAAGGGTCGTCAACCTCCCAGTGACCTCCACAGCTGTCACAGACAACCACTTCATCCGGGTAATCTATAATGCAAAAACCGCAGAGACCAGCTTTCTTGCCATCAAGAAGAAACATGGTCTGGGGTGTCACATTGAAGATTGTCCTCAAAAGCTGGCACGGGTGATAGCGCAAGTAGTGAGGAATGATCAAGCCGAAGACCACTGTTGCAATAAGACTTCCCACAACGGGAACAGTCATGGCCTCACCTCCAGCACAAAAAGGGCAGCACAGCACTTATATTATCAACTGCAAGGCAAGGAATGTAATGGCGTTTGCCGTTTGCTGTTTGCTTACATGGCCCCCATGGCTTGAACATGCAAAGGGAAGGGGGTCAGATCGCAACACCTCACACAGAATGAAAAACAGGCAGACCCAGCAGACCTGAACAACATCAACATTTAACATTTGTTATTAGTCATGCATCTCTCCGCCTGCCAGGATGTTGATTTCACCATAGCCCATCTGTTCATTGAGGTACTCATGATCCAAGTGCATTGGATTGAAGCCCTGGAGCGCCAAAAGCTCCTAGCAAATGGACAGCTTGAAGGGACTTAGGGAAGCTTTTGGTCAAACAGACACGTTGACCACTTCACATGATAATAATGGTTCATGATAATGGAACAATATTGAAAAACCTAGCACTTCCAAATAATTTGATAAGTCCTGAGCTGAAATGAACGTGCAAGAGGAAAAGTCGTAGTAACGGTGGTGTGAGATGATCGCCGAAAGGTGGCCATTGGTGAAGCAAGACTTCTTCGCATACTGCATCGATCCTGAAAAAGGCAAGAAAAAGACCAGGCCCAAGCAGAAAAAAACACACATTGTGACATTGTCTTGTCACCTCTCTGAACTTACGCAGTTTTCAGAGCGTGATCAGACTCTCAGACTCTCACATATGCTCCGCTCCTGACGCACAGCTCATGGCCCATAGGCCCATAGTCTAGTTGTTTTCACCTGACCCAACCACTAGGTATACAAGCAAGTGGCCCGCTTGTTCAGACTCACTAGATTCAATGCCTAGCAACT